TCATTCTTTTGGCAATCATGGATTTCGTCGCGGCGTTGCTTCGTGTCATTCCACAAGTGATCACTGATACGTCGAAGCCTCACTTCAAGGAGATATGGATGTCTTTCTTACATGCTGGTCAGATTCTCAATGCAGCGTGCGGCCCGTTGGTCATGGCTCCAGTATCGCAGCTCTCTTGTCTTTGGTTCGGAACAAACGAACGAACCCGAGCCACTACTGTAGCGATATTCGCGAACAATTTTGGAGCGACAGTAGGCTTTCTGATCAGTCCGGTGATTGTTTCAAAACCGGAGTACATTCCTCGCCTACTCTATGTCCATTTGGGTCTGACATTCGTGGCGTGCGTCCTTACTCTGCTATACTTTCCGCCTCATCCACCGACGCCGCCATCACATGCCGCTGAGCTTCTGGTTTACACTCCGGCAAGTGAGAGCGGAAATGGCTCATGGAAGATCTTCCTTATCAGTGTTTGGAAGTGTTTAACTACACCATCATTTGTTTTGCTCTCTACCGCTGGTGGCCTCATTAATGGAACTTTTGGTGCGTGGACGAGCTTGTTTGATCTCATTCTGAAACCGGATAATTTTTCTCAACAACAAGCAGGTGAAACGGGACTCTATTGAAGATATCAGACCGATTCATTTCGTTTCTTTTCAGGTTGGTTCGGCTTTTCACAATCGATTGCTGGTATTCTCGGTGGTTTGTCTTTCGGTGCACTAGCGGATACCCAACGTTTTCAACGGTCTCGAAAAGTAATGGTCATCCTGTCGTTTGTGCTCTGCTTTCTCTCAGTTGTTTGGTTTGAACTTTCTGTGCCAACATTTTTCTACAACAAAGGAATACTTCGACCAACAACTTTCACAATTGGTTTTTCTCTTACTCTGGCTGGATTGTTTCAAGGTGCCGGATCGCCAATCATCTACGAAACCATCGCTGAAATCATGTACCCTCTGCCGGAATCGTTATCCGCTTCGATTCTAGTTCAATTGATCAATATCACAACATTGATTCTTCTCTTCATCGCTCCGAATCGTGCTAATCTAATGAATTTACTTGTATTGATCATTATCGCTGCGTGTATCATCTTGAGTTGTTTCACTAGTTTTACGTACAAGAGACTAGATGATGATGAGAGGAAACAAGAGGAAAAAGATCGCGAACAAATCAACGATGACATCAATCCGTACATGAATGGCACTGATGATCATCTAGAAAACGGAACTATAACGTGACCAAATCCACATGACTGAAATCAATGAATTTCGAATAATGAATTGTTGTCTATCATAGTTCGTTCACTACAGAACTGGTAAAACGTTCATTACTATCACACAATGGGTCTCCAAAGGATGTGGGTGTGGGTAGATGTGAGTGTGTGGTGTGGCTGGATGTAGGTGTGTGGGTTTGGGTGTCGGTCGTTCTTCCATCGATCTACGCCAACATTCACCCACACCCACACCCTACATTTATTATCATTGTGCTGCTTTAAGATTTCTGATAAAAACATTTTAACATATACTTAATTCATGAAGTATTTAGGTGTTTTTTCTTTCTTCCTTCTCTATTTCTCCGTGCATACGATATTAAGATACTGTTGCTTTGTGCGTCGGTTGAAATAGAACGAAAAATAAAGTATGTTTCGCATTCTCCTTATGACATCATAGCACACGACCACATCAACAAAACAATCGAGTGAAAAGTATTAGTAGAAAAAAGATTTTTTGTGCTGTAGACTATTCAATACAAGAATAAGAACAAGTTTTTGTGTTTGAATGTTTGGTTTGTCACATGCAGGTTTGTTTTACTTGTTTTTGTGCAATTTTTCTTCATCGCGTGTGTAAATGATAACTCAATTTTTTCTGTGTTGACCAGTGAAATCCGAAGGTATTGTCAGGATTTTTTTATAATAAGTATATCGCCTAGGAGGTATAGGACTAAAGAATAGCTGTTTCGGATAATAATTTCATTCATTTCAAATTGATCTAAACATGGTCGTCATGTAATAAAATTATTTCATATCACGAACTATACGGTCTTTTATTATTTTGATTCACATGTACAGCGCAGAAAAATATATCGTACAAGACGGAAAACCACATGGCAATATTTTTATTCTCTTCATGTATTTTTTATCACTATCGATTTGTCATATAATACAACATCACAAGAAAATTACATTAATATATGAAATGATGTTATTCGACGATCTTTTTCGTGGGATATATTGGAGATGATAATAGTTACTGTCTGGTCCTAGAAAATATTGCATTCTAATTCTTCTTTTTTCTTTTATAAAATGGAAACTCCCTCGATTGGTTTATTTTGGGTTTAATTATATATACCTAGGATCCAGAAATTCGCAATTGAAGGAAACTCAAGAAATTAAAGGAATGCAACAAAGATATATGGCATAATGAGTTACAAGTTTAAACTACGATGGAATTCAAGGAAATCAACGCAATCAAGCAATTCAAGAAAGTTCTAGAAATTCAGGGATTTCAACAGGCGTACAAAACATTTCAAGTTACAAGTCTAAACTATGACATAATTCAAAGTTATGTGATGTGTTGAATTCCTTGAATTGCCAATTTTTGGATCATAGGTACTGCTGGGTTTAATCAATCCACGGTTTCGTTTACTATTCGAACAAAATAGCGATTATCCCACAAAAATCAATGATAGACATTCTTATATGAAAATACAAGTAAATACCCTTTCTTTTTCTAAGATCATCTGATCCGATCCGTAAACACGAAGACTATTGTGGAACTTATGTATGTTTTCTAGGAAAATACTGAGTGTCAGTTTTAAGTCGAACTTTTCTGTTCCATTCATCTCTTCATTACAGACTTAAGCAATCATGCATGAGCGAATTAAATCAATATTTGAAATAATAATGTTAAATTAAGACAAAAAGAACAAGTGAATGGCAAAATTTAAAAAAAAGAAATAAGAGAGATTCTTGTTCCAATGATTAATTATCTTGGAAAAGACTTCGAATCTACCAGATACTTTTCATTTAATGTATTTTTTTATTGGTTAAATCGAACGAAAAAAATACGTGAATTCCGCATGTTAGCCCGAAACTGACTGCGCTAACAAGTTCCTTGTTTTTAAAAAGTTTTATCTTTCCTATTTCTGTAAGCTGATCTAGTCAATAAACAGTAAATATTATTTTATTCAAAGTTCTTTTAAAATTTTATTTAGATCTTTTGAAAATTCCCCAATGAACATTAAGTGTATTTTTCTATTGAAAGAAATTTCAGTGTCATTTGTCACTCATAGAGAGAAAAAGGTATCTCTTCTCATTCATGAGACATATGTGTAAGTATGACGGTAAAGTCAGATAGTACGGACGTCGAAACATGATCATAGCCTCAAATCTAAATATTACTGGATCATCCGAAATATTTTTCGGATAATCGGGATTTCCTCTAAAAACCAACATAAATCGCGATAAAGTAGGCGAATTTACAAGGTTTCGATGACATGAGTCTGTCTCTAGCATCCAAATTATATTTTCGGTAGAATTCAACGAAAACGATGTCTTCTTAAGAAGACATTGTTAGAAATATAGAAAATCGTTTTTTACATGGGAAAATTACCCAATGGAGAACATTATACAAAAGAAATATATTTTCGAAAATAGCAGCCGGAATTTTGAACAAGGACCGGTATAAAATGTTAGACAAAAGTCATTGAAGAGCGGTATATTTTTTCTCTTCAGCTAGCATAGTCATTCAATAATAAAAGAACATACTCGAATCTCATTCCTTTCTCTTCTACAGCATTCATTAATTAGTTATTTGCATGGAGAACTATTGAAGAATTTCAAAGCTATAATCTTCACAGGTAAAAACGGCGATATTTTATTTATTTATTACCTTCCTTATCAAATTATGTTGTTGAACAAAACCAAATGCTCGATGTGATTTTTCATTCTTAAGAGTGATGTGAGTGTGAGCATGGGTTGATGGATCAGAGAGAGAAATGAAAATTAAACCATTTAATCAAACCTACATCCTTCTCTTAATTATATGTTTTATTGTTAAATACAGTTATACAAGTCAATAAAAGGCCGTACTCATTCAATAAAATAGAATATTCCACTAATGAACTATTTTTATTCTATGTTTTAGATATTAAGTGTAATTTTAAAATTCAAAATAGCTACAAAGTATTCTATTGAAAATAAAACATTTCATAATCATGAAAGTGAACAAATTTTTCATGAATCTTCTACAACGTTAACGTCTGCTCAAGATTATCAGAAAAAGTCACTGATTATTCTTGAAGAAGCTGTTGAACCAATACTTTTATTTGTGTCTAATGTCAAAGACAGAGAAAATGAAACTAAAATGAAATGCAAAAGCATCGTGACGAATAATCTTTCAATAGATGAATCAGCTTCAATAATACTTTATTCAATGGAATAGAAACCAAAAGCAGAATGTCTTCGTATTGTTTTAAATCGTGCTTTTCGTGATGAGAATTGAAGCGTGTTAGTTTGTTGGTTCCTTTATTTGAAATTACTTCTTACCGCATCGGATCGAGTGTGAGTCGGTGTGGATTTAGGTGGGTGTGGAGTTGATTTCACTCTGTTACATCCACATGCATATCTACACTCACACCCTCGCATTCTTTTTACTAATCAGTGTTTCCACAATCTATAGAGAAAAACGATGTAAATATTTAATTAAACGAATTTTATATAAAACAGAAAAACGTCTATCTTCATATGCTGCCTCTTATGATGAGTAAAATTGCAGCTTGATTGGCAACATCAGAAGCGAAATCTCAAAAAGATTTTGTACGAAGAAACAAGTCAATATTTTATATTTTAAAAAAGTAAATTTTACAACAATATTACTGTATTCTAAACATCTGTAATGAAAAATGATTTGGATGAATTTCGTTAAAAACAAATAATCATAAATGTAATATAATTTTAATATATTTCGTTTCTCTTTATTTTATTATCAAAGAAAAAAAAACATCATTTATTCATATTCTTGTATATCAATACTTGATTGTAAAGTGTTTATTGCTCTTTGAATACGCCATATAAGAAAATCTTTAGAATGTTTGTCTTCTGCTGTTGAATATGGCGATTTGGATGAATCTTGTTGCATCTCTTGCAATATAAACTTGAATTCTTCTATAAGTATTTGAGCACTGGATGACAGGTATTCTGTCTCATCTGACGAAGACTGATGCATTGTTGAACAATAATCAGAGGACCCCGATATAATATCTTCCCAATTGTCGCAAAATGAATCATCTGTATCCGTGAATTCTATTTGATCAAGTCGACTTGAAATGATTTCATTGTTCTCAACATTACACTTCATATCTGGTGTTGAATTTTCAAACTGATTATTTAACTTTTGAACTTCCAGATCATGTATATTGATAGCTGTTGCGATTAAATCGTCCGATTCAGTGTCAGTAGCAACTGTTCTTGTAGATGGTATTTCATATGCACACTCGATTATATCCAAAATTTTGCATAACGAAACATTCACAAATCCGTCCTTTCTATGGTATATCTTGCGTGGAGTCGTTCCTGTACTGCAGGTGCACGTCGTTTTGTTACATGATGATTGAGCCATTATGAAATTACAATTTGTTTTTTTGTCAGTTGTACGTCTTATATCTGATGTAAGAAGCACAAAATATTATCGTCTTAAAATTGTTATATTTCAATTCATCGTCCTTCATTTTATAGGCTCAGTTTCTTTTAGCAAGAATATGTTAAATCAATATATGTCTGTGTGAAAGAAAAACAACATCTGCTGGGGTAATTGTCAAATTTTAATGTGCACCGAAGATAACAATGTGTGAATAGCTATACAAAGATAAAGAGAAAACAAGAAAACTAAATGTATATTGATGTTGATTGATGACAAGAGTATATAATTTTCAATGCATATTATCAGTTAGTTTTGCATACGTCGATATTGTCTAGTCGAAGGAATCAAACAAGTGTATTATGATGACCATCAATCAGTGAAATAATAAATTGTTTTTTTTTGCTCTTCATATTGTTAGAAATGTTCAATATTTTGTTGTGTATAAATGCATAGAAAAAGAAAAAAAAATTGTATCATCAACAGAACGACGCAAACGCAACATAATGAAAAATATGTTCGTTAATTCGAATCAAATTACAACGGTAATTGTCATGAAATAAAAGATAATGAAAACAAAAAAAAATGTTTTTTATGTTAGAAAAAGCTTCGATCAGTTATTACGAAACCTCACAAAAAAAAGTTCGTCTTGAATTTTTCAAGCACGATTACCATAGATAGAAATAATAAGATTGCTGGTTTATTTATTTTATTAAATGAACAATAGATAGAGTTTTTGAAATTCAAAGGTTTTATTTAGCGCTTATATACATTTCTTCTATATGTGTACAGGTGATGTCCAGATTCCCAGAGATATCAATCAATACCGTATAGAAAAAAAAGAGTATTGATTGAGTATGAAGAACAATGTATCTAGGCGAATGGAATACATAGATACATAAGACACATATTAATGATAGATGTAAAATTTAGCAATAACTTTAATGTACCATTTTTAAATGGAAAGAAATTGTTGCCTTTCGTGATAAAGAAATCGAAGTAACAGAATGAGACATTTTTGGATGTGAGTGTTGTAACTTCCAGTATCCATACCCAATGCACATTCAGTCTTTGATTGCTAATAGATTATTGAGTCATTTAGTTGAATGCATTCTTTGTAGAAGCTATTTTCAACAAATGTAAGCGTCCATTCGTTATATTCGTAATTTGATCATGGATGTTTTGGTACAATCGAATAGTTCTCTTAAGGATCACCACAGATAAATATACACATGTTTTACTTGTCTGTTGCAACAGCTAAACGTTTGAGAGAAAGGTTTTTCGATTTACAACTGATTTTATGTTTGATATCGTATGAAAACAACATTAAGGATAATTTCATACAAAAATATAGGAATATTTCGCTACAATGATGACTGCACCGAAGAAATAAAACACGAACATGTCATGATAGAATTCGAGCTGAAAAACAGAAATAAAGGATAATATCACGCAAAAGGATGGGTGTAGATGTGAGCTTTGATAGAATGACATGACCGCCACTCATACTCGCAGCCACACCCACACCGTCGAAACTCCGTCAAAAGTTTCTTATTTCTTACATAAATAATGTATTATTCATACATTAGCATATGAAGTGTAATTCATTTGTTGTGCTTATAGATTTTTTTTATTTCTTTCGTTTACTGTCAGTAAGATGAATAATTCTTAAAAGTGCTATAGGACTCTAACGAACAATAATCTGAATCGATGGATATAATTTGTAAAAGGTACCTATTCAAATATACAATTGCGGGCTTATTCATTCATACACTTATGTATATACTTCACATTATTTATCAAGAGAAAGCAAATAATGTAGGACAGAGAGAGTCGGCAGGAATGCTTCACTTCTGAATATATATAAACATACTCTTATTCAGTCGAGAAGTATATCGAACTAAGACACACTAAAATGCGACTTTGGTTTATTCTCATTCTCATCATCAGTTTTGCTGACTCCAAGTAAATTATTACATCGAATTCATCTCAAAACATATGCTTTTTGTCTTGTTATCTTTTTTAGTTGGGCAGGATTTTTTAGTCGTAAAAAAAATGAGCGTTGTATACCAATCGTAGATGATTGTAAGTACGGTTTGAAGTGTCGTCTGTCAGCAACTTGCACGGTCAACACTGGTGCGAAGAATATAATGTGCTGCCGACCTCCACGAATATTTATAAAATGAGCTGATGGAATGGTTTATACTTGAGCAAAATCAGACTTCAATACAAAAAACTGAATTTCGTATTTATCATTGTCATGCATTCCTTTATTTTTATGTGAAGTCTGTTTTTTTCTTGTATTTGAAACTAAATCGTGCATATGATTAAGCTTACTATCAATAATATAGTTTATGTTTTATCCATAGAATTTCTATATCATATAATCGGTAATGCATCAATGATTGAGACTCGAAAAAAAATGTGTTGCTTGTCTGTTAATTGTCATATCAAAGAAAGTTTCCTTTTCAAGTTGTGGTCGATTCTTCGAAATGAAAAAAATAACGATTAACTTGAAAGCAGTAGCCAACATTTCATTCAAGATATTGAAAAGATAACGAATAGTTATGAAGTTCCAAAACATGAAACGAGAAAGAGAGGGAGTAAAAAGAAAATGTTGATAAAAGTAATCTTTGTAACAGATTAGTGAATTTCGTTCTGATGACTTTTTGTTTCAATAAAATGAAATTGACATGCTACCAGCAAAAATATTTCTATTAGTTTGTCAATGACTATGTTTTTGTTGATGAAAATTATCATTTATATTTATTTGATCATATTGTTCTTATTTGAATATCAGTTCATCAACTGGACATTGATTCATTTCACTGATATTCACCGAAAATACGAGTTTATTTCATCAGAGGACTCATTCATAGTACACTTTTTCTTGTTCTTCTCAATTAAATCGATTCCAAGTTTATGGTTTTTTGTTATTAAATACAGTAGTTTATTTTCGTGTGCTCTATAGTTTCTAATCACACTCGAAATTTTTTACATGCAACTGAGAAATAAGCATAAGTACACTATCTTTTCATCTTGTTCTATTACGATGGTATAAGTTGATAGAGTACAACGATTGATATTCTGTCAGAACCTAGTTCATCTAATGACAGTAATTTAAAAGTTATTGTTCAAAAAGTCTGGAAGAGATACTGATTTGAAGATTAATGATCGTTTCTTTGGGTAGAAAAACTTAAAATCCAGAACATCTGTGAGGGTGTGGGTGTGATTGTTTATTGTTTACTCACACCCACAACCACACCACCCATATCCGCACCCACATTCACCTCACCCACTCCACCCTGGAACCAATTTGGACTCCATGGCTAGTACAGGCATCTGAGGCGAATCGATAACATATAGTCTGATCGAAGTAGAGGGCGTGGGTGTAGGTGTAAGTGTACGTACGCGCCTTCTACTCACCTACACTCCCTCAGAGAATTGAATAAAGAAAAGAAATAATATTCATTTTGTTTCATGAACCAGTTCAGATGTACAGGTGCAACTAGGTTAACAGTAGGTACACCCACATCTTCTATTTTCATGTATGATAGTTTTAAAACTAATTATTTCGAAATAAGAAAATACAGAAATCAAATGATCAGTCGTTCAATATTATTTCTTCAAATATTTGGTAAATACATAAACAGATTGATTCTGAACTAATGGAGTATGGATTCTGATAAAGAGGAACAACTTATTCATCATATTATTTTCTGTATTACAATATAAAGAAAAAAGACTTTGTGAAATGTTCATCCCCAAATAGAAGAAAAAGGAAGAAAGAAACAATACCATTTTCTTCATGTATCCAGGCGTCATTAATTGACAACACAGAAAAATATCTCATTGTTCTCACTGGCAACATCGGTCAAATAGATGAAATGTTCATAGCTATACAAATATTCATAGTTGTAAGTCTAACAAAAATAGATAGGTGATGATAATTATGAAACTTTTATTGATGGCATTAAATGAATTACCAGATGAAATTCTTTTGATAATTTTCACAAAATTAAAGAATGTTTCACTACTTCATTCTTTAATAGGTGTTAATAAACGACTCAACACAATTGTACATGATCCAATGTTTACCAGCTATTTAACATTGATGAGACATTTGTCAGATGATTTCATCTGTCCCTTACCTGATTCAATGCCTGATCGATTTTGCTCATAAATTTTAACTGAAATTCATTGTCAAATCAAATGGCTTTATCTTGAATCATCATCTGTGAAACGTATATTTCGTGCTACAAATTATCCGAATTTGTATGGACTCGGTTTATTTGACATAGACTTAGGAACAGTTCAATCTCCCTTTGTTGGTAAGACATTGCAATTATTGCATTCATTAATAAAAAAATATATAGATGAAAATTAAACTGATTTATTTGGAATACATGCATCATACAAATAGATTTAGATGAATGCACAGGTGTTAAAGAATAATTTTCGAATTCACTATTATTTCTTGATAGAAATGAGTTAGAAAAAAATTCAAAGCGAAAAAGAATCGCTTATATTGAAACTTTAGGCATTACTCTTAAAAAAAAAAGAAGAATCGAGAATAAAATAAAGGGTTAAAATAAAATGTAACATAAATGATGAAGAATTAGAGCTTGTCGACTTAATGAATTTTAGACTTGCACCATGTTTATTGAACTGTTTTTTTCAAGCGAAATCCGATTGATTAGACTTTTTGCACACAACCCCATCGGTACTCATAATCTGAATAAATACTTTTTTATTCTTATTGATAGACGCTCATTTAGATTCAGCAATCAGATTGCGCGACACATCTCTTAGGGTATGTTGACGGTATTCATACAAGTATGTAGTCATAGTTGATTTCAAGTTTTTAAGTAACAACAATCGGAACCCCGATTGGGATCCATCAAAGAGAGAGCTTTGAGACTCGAACCAAGACGGGCTTTACATAGCATATTTTATTGAATAATTGCAAAGAAGAAGATCAC